ACACACACACACACACACACACACACACACACACACACACACACACAAATCAATTCTTATCTGAGTGTCTCTGTGAGCAGTTTACCTGAGAACTATTCTTTTCTCCGCTGGCACGACTCTCCACTTCTGAAGTTCTGTGAACATCCTGAGGTGTCTGGGAACGTGGTGGACTTTGGGAGGGAAAAAATGAGAATAACCAACCAAGAACAAGACTCACTGATTTATCAGGACCATAGAAAGCTAACTTCAAATCCCAATAAAGTTCACAAGGCTACTTAAGATCTTGCAGCCAAGCCTGCCTCTTTATTGTGATAAGAACAGAAATAGGAAAAACTATGTTATGCATTCTGGAGCACCTTGGTAAAACGGACAGAATGTTGTTTTGCTTTTTTAAAAGTAGGGACATCTTCTCATGGTAAATTGGATAGCAATTCTGGTTTTGTGAAAAAGTAATAGCTTTCTTCACAAAAATTTTAGTGGGTCCAACCAATGTAAAGGGAGTCTGAGTGAGCAAATACCACAATCTGTTTAGTACTTGCACAATCATCCAAAAATGCAAAAAATTAATTAGTATTTAATTGTTCCTGGAATCCCTCATAGTGTCAATTAAGAGTAGGTAGCTTCTAATGTCATCAGCACTAATAACTACATAGAAAAGGCTTAAGCTTCCCCTTCCCAATTAATCATCAGCCCCATTACAAAATAATCCTGTTTTGACTTTAAATGCATTTTAATTTACATGTAACTTTAATATATAAAAAGGCACTTTAGTTAAGTTTAGTCTGATCCAGTTCTCTAATCCTGAACATCTCAATCATTTTGTGGCTGTGTTTGCAAAACACACTGAACCACAAACTAGCTAATCACCTAATCCACTGTGGAAATGCTATCCCTATTATTTTATGGTTCCAGGTGTTGAGCAATCCCACTGCACTCAAATTAACTTACGCCAGAGTTCAATTAGCCATGGATAAGTATCTTGCCCAATGGCAGATAAGTGGTCAGTTACATCAACACTACTGTATATAGTGGCTGTGCGATTTAAAATTATGCTCTTATAACTCACAAGCTTTGGAATGCAAAGAGTTGTTTGTCTGGGCTCCCTCTTTTTGTTAATTTATTTAAAGCATTTTTACATGACCAGAAAGGCACCCAAAGCAACTCATGACTGACAGGCTCTGTCTTCAGGAATACACTTTAAAAGATACTCCAGAGAAAAGAAGAGGAAGAAATACAATCTAAGCTTAAGAAATGCAGCACCAGTATACAATCACTTAGGACAGTGGTGGCTAACCTTTTTTGGCTCCTGTGCCAAAAATTGTGCGCGCACCACCACCCAGAATGCAATGTACGTCCCCTCCCCTTGCCCCTGTGCATGCATGCACAATTTCCCCACCACCACCACCCCCTTACCTGCACCGCGCCTCACAGCTGATTTTTGGTTTGACAGGAAGTGATGAAACAGGCCTATAATTCAGCCTGAAAAGCCTTGCAGAGGCTTTTTCCAAGACTCTGGGAAGCCGAAAAAGACCTCAAACCAACCAAAAAAAAATCAGCTGTGAGGCACACACATGCACAGCGAGGTATTTGCCTGCAGCTCGCATGCCAGCAGAAATAGTTCTGTGTACCACCGGTGGCACACGTGCCATAGGTTCGCTATCGTGGGCCTAGGGCAAGGGTCTTCAAACTTGACAGCTTTAAGACTTGTGTACTTCAACTCCCAGAATTCCTCCTCCAGTCATGTTAGCTCAGGAATTCTGGGAGTTGAAGTCCACAAGTCTTGCCAAGTTTGAAGACCCTTGGCCTAGGGAAATGTAGCTGGCTAGGTATCAATTAGGACAAAGTCAACAGATAAACATTTCAAAGACAATAGCTTTAGCCAATGGTATAATGCTACTTCCCATCTTTCACCTGACTCTTTAAGTACTGAGGATCCTAACACAACCGCAATCTCTCTAACCTTTCAATCATTCACCAAGCAACATGCAATGGATTGCAATCATCTTTACTTCTATTGATTTTTAAAACAAAGAAAATGTCATAAGCCAATCAGACTCCATCTCCTCCCATCTGGAGGACCAGTGAAAGACTATAATATAATCTATCAATGTCCATTCTCCCAGCTACAGTCCCGCTATCCTCACTCCTGATGATGGGGGCACAGGTGGGCCTCATTTAGCAACCAAAATTGGTACCAGCAATTCAATCATTAAGTGAACCAGTCGCCAACATGACTGCACTTACGATCTTACTTCAATTTTATTTTGTTGTGCAGACCTGCAAAGGTCGTAAATGTGAGGATTGGCCACAAAGTTTCATCGTCGTCGTAACTTGATGATGGTTGTACAAGGTAGTTGCTAAATGAGAACAACCTATAACCCCAAAAAGTCCCCATAGCATTCTCCATACAAACGGAAATAAAATTGCAAGGACACCCATCCTATAGGCGTTTCTAACCACATACCTTTCTGTGCGTGTGCCAAATAAATTTGCAAAAAATATCAGAAAATTTGCTATGATGGAAAGTCTATCGAGAGAGGTAGAGTATAAAGAAAAATATAGGAAACTTCCAAATGTTTCTTATCCATTGTACCACCATTCCCTAGCAGCTGTGAAGACAAAATGAAAGCATAGGGAGAGCTTTGCAACTTGGTATTTCCCCTGAACAGTGTGGCCAGGGTGTACGGGCTGGACTGGGATGAAGGCAGTGATAAAATTCAAATGTTTTTACTACTGGTTCTGTGAGCGTGGCTTAGTGGGCATGGTTTGGTGGGCGTGGCTCGGTGGGCGTGGCAGGGGAAGGATACTGCAAAATCCCATTCCCTCCCCGTCCCACTAACCTGGTTTCCAGCTCCGTTCTCCTGTGCAGGGCAACATAAGAAGACCCAGCCGATCAGCTGGGACTCGGAGGCAGAGAATAGATGGGGGCAGGGCCAGTCAGAAGTGGTATTTGACTGTTCTCTGTTCAAAATTTCCACCAACGGTTCTCCAGAACTGGTCAGAACCTGCTGAATACCACCTCTGGGTGGAAGCAGATTAGTTCTCATCAATTTGTGCAGGAAGACATAAGTCCTAGGAACATGAGGCTGAACCTCTTTGATGGGGATAGAGATGAGAGTAAAAACTGGTTGGAGCTCAGGAAATGGAGCAAAATTCCTACAAGCGGAAAGACAGCCCACTTGCAAAGCCTTCAAAGGAACAACAATTCAAAGCCCAGATTTTCCCAAAAGAGGCTGTCCCCAGAGTTTTTCTCAAAAGCCAACATCATCTCCAAGTTAATCGGGTCTGGAACTGGTCCCAAAAGTGGCATACAACCCTAATCTAATATTTGCTTAGTTTCACAATGAAAGATCACTTCATTCTCCCAAGCCATGCCTCTTGTTAGCTTTGGAATGCCTCACTTAATAGATGAGTCCGGTTTTGTTTAAATAAAAAGCTGAACTTAAAAAGAAAAAAGAACAGATTACACCATGAGGGCAAGATGACCATGTCTCCAATCAGTAGAAAGGGCATCAGCTGCAAGGCCAGGGATAATTGCATCATCCGGATCAGACTTCTAATAGAACAGTTTAGAACAGGGGTCTCCAACCTTTGCGATTTATGGACTTCAACTCCCAGAATTCCTCAGGCAGCACATGCACTGGCTGAGGAATTCTGGGAGGTGAAGTCCACAAGTCGTAACGTTGCCAAGGTTGGAGAGCCCTGATTTAGAACACTTTCACCCAGACAAATCAAAACAAAACATACGTTTAGCTTTGCTTAAATTAGGTCCCGCTGCTTAAATTAGGTCCCACTGCTTTCAAGAATCCCAAAAGGCCAAGCATTTACTTCCCCAGTCCGATACCTTTCCATGTTTTTAAGACTATACCTCCCATTATCCTCGATAACACCCATGGAGAAGCATTGCCTATGGCTGGTTAAAAACATTGTTGAAATATCTGAAAGTCAGCCAGAGGTAAAGGTAGTCCTCAACCTACAACCGTTCCTTTTTAGTGACCGTTCAAAGTTACAACGGCACTGAAAGAAGTGACTCATGACCCTTTTTCATACTTGTGACCAACTGACTCATATTTCTGACCACTGCAGTGTCCTGGGGTCACGTCATCCCCTTTGGAACAAACAATGGGGAAGCCAGATTCACTTAACAAACATGGCAAGAAAGATCGTAAAATGGGGTCCTTAGCAGCATGTCCCCTTTAGCAGCTGAAATGTTGGGCACCACTGTGGTCGTAAGTCGAGGACTACCTGAACATTTAACTGAAAGAGGAGGAAATGCATTGTGTGAGCAGCCTGTGCTGCCTCAGTGTGTGTGTGTGTGTTTGTCAGAGTACCTGTCACAGTGAGAGCTCTCGCGCGAGCTACTTCTTCCAGACTCATGCTGGGCATCTAGAAGAATTTTCTCCATGTCACCATTATAAATAGAAACTGAAGCAGGAACTTGTTCCTGGCTGGCCGGCTGGCCACCGTTCCCATTGCTGCTAAAGTGCAGTTCTACCCAGGAACCTGCTTGGCAAACATTGAGAAAGAACAAAAACCACAAGGATTTATTAGGAAACCAGCCACTTTCGTTTGTTGACATTCTGCTTCAAGTCCGACTTCACCGCCTCCTCGGCTTGCGTTTTTAGGAGGCACAAAGAATACTCAGCTTATTGCCTGTTAATAATAAAACTCTGTTGCAATGGGAATGGCAAATGGCGTCTCCTTCCCCTACCCCACCCCAGCAGTGCATAAGCATTTTATATCTACGGTATCTCATGGCTATATTGCTCAGAACAAAAGCTGTGCTTCTATATTTACTATACAAGCACTCTAATACAGTATAAAATGGTTTTTTAAAAAAAGATTTTTTAACTTCCCTTTATTTCTCTTATAAATAACTCAAAGGGGGGAACATATCTAACGCTCTTTCCCTCTATTTTCCCCACAACAAAACACCCAGTGAGGGGTGAGTTGAGAGGGACTGACTGGCCCAAGGTCACTCATGTGGGGCTAGAACTCAGTCTCTTGGTTTCTAGCCTGGTGCCTTAAATCAGTAGACCAAACTATAACTCTGCAAGGTGCTCATTTTAATTGTACAGCAAGCTCATTTTCCACGATGTGACTATTCTCATTTTTAATTTTTTCAAGTTTACTTAAAAGGCTTATGCATTTTAAAAGAAAACATGATGCAGTCCACAAATAAAAAGTTGTAACCATAACAGACTGATATTATCATTGTGAGGAATAATTGGCTATACCACTAGTTTAAAAAATATGTAAGGGTCTTTAGACCAGTCTTTAGTTATTGGAAAGGTAGCAAACTGGAATCCACATGATTTAAATGAGAGTAAGCTAACTTTAAGGTAAGTGGAGTGAAATCATGCTGAAAAATGGGTTTGTGTGGAACTATAATGAAATGACATAAGAGAATCGAACTATCAGAAAACATTCCTCTATCCAAACATCTGTCTTCCTTATTTTTTTATGGGCAGTTTTCTGTCCCAACTTGTATATTTTACAGTGCCATTCATTGGCCTGTTTCTATGGACTGCAATTCTCAGGATGCTCAGGATACAGAAGGTGAAAACAGGAAGTCAAATGGGCAGAAAGAAAGGACAATCCACTGACAGGAAATAGGCAGTATAGAGCTTCTTTGGTATCAGATCTTAAGATATAGATTGCACTCACACAACATATTTCATTTAATTACTGCAGAATGTTACCCAAAGAAATTCCTCCCTAGGCTAACCCGAAAAATAAACAGTCTAAATCTTGTGAAACATTCCCTCACAAAAACCAAACTTATATTATAAAAAGCTACAGTAGTTCTTGCTCACAAGGCTTAAGCAAATAAAAGCTCTCTGGTACTTTGATCTGAATGTGGCAGGCTGCAAACTAACAGACAATGCTTTTCACAGGCCTAATTTCATCTTGAGAAAAGCCACAGCCGCTGAATTTCTCTTCCAGCCTATTTTTGGAATCTTATGAGGAATTAACTAACAAAACTGCAAGAGAAGAGAATGGAAGACATGTACCTATATCCAGTTAACTTGGAATAAGAAAATTGGAAAAGAGAATAATATAGGCTCTTTGTATAAGAGTATTCATTAAAAAAAGAGATGTTTAAAAGCCAGATTCGTACCTTATCTACTCTGTACACCAAAAAAACAAGGCTAAGAACTAAAACTGCATAATTCACAAAATATAAAATATACAATGTGGTGGCAAAAGTGATAGATTTTACATCTTACATAACCCTGCGTGTATGATTAATTTATTCTCCCATTTAAGTTTCTCTGAAGAATGTACATTTGTTTCTATAGTCCTAACTGTCCAATAGGAAAGATTCAATTTAAATTTCTTTTAGTGTCTAGGGAGTGGGAAGGGAAAGTGACATTGTGTGCATGTATACTCAGGGATGAAATATACTTCCTGTGGGATATACATCAACCTATCAACACATTGTACCAGCCTATTTAAAAGTTCCAAGCAGAATCAATTAGAATGATTCCCAAGGAAGTATTTGTATCAAGTGAAAGTAAGCAAGACCAAATATTTGGAAAGCTTTTCTGGAAATGTTTACTGAACTTTTCTCAAGTTGGACAAAATACTGATACTTTCCTTCACGAACAATAGCAATAAAACATAAAAACAACAATTCTGTGCTCACTTTTCCTTTGGCACATTATGTGACCAAACCCCAGGAAAAGATAACCTCTAACATTATTTGATTACAAACCCAATCTAAAAACGGGAAGAAGTCCCTTTTATGTTGCAATCTACTTCCAAGTTTTTCTACATGGGGCTATAAATCCCATGATGTCAGCTCTGAACCAGCACAATGTGTCAATAAGTTCCAAGGCCAATTATTTACAACCGTAAAAGCTATTAGTAAAGGGCTGAGTCACATAGGCAAGGATACTATACCACACAGCCAGGGAACATAGCTGCTAAGTTACAACAACAGAGCTGTCTTTTCTCCCCTTCCAAAGAACACGGGGTATTTTAAAACCATTCCCCCTTGCTGGTTCTGAGCCAGCCAAGGTAAAAATCAACTCAATGGCAAGAAAAAGTCCAAACTAGAGAAAACTCTTATAAGAGTTTGATAGCTCCAAGAAACAGAGGAAACCCTGAATGACACAAAGGTAACCCCAGGTCATTCGGTATTTCCTCATCCTTTGTTTCTCTTGCCCTCCAGAAATAATTCTAGAGAAATTTTAATTACACGTAGTCCTCGACTTACGACCACAACTGAGCCCCACATTTCTGTTGCCAAGTGAGACATCTGTTAAGTGAGTTTTGCCCCATATTATGACTTTTTCTATCCTGTTTGTTAACTCCGCAGTTGCTATAGTAGTGACACAGTCCTTTAAGTGAATCTGGTTTCGCCTCCCCCCCCCACCCTTGACTTTGTTGGTCAAAAGATGGTAAAAGGGGATTGCATGATCCCGGGACATGGGCGACCCGTCCTAAATACGAGTCAGTTGTCAAAAGCATCCTAATCTAAATCACATGAACCATGGGGGATGCTTCAACGGTCGTAGGTGTGAAAAACGGTCGTTGAAGTCCCTTTTTCCTGTTGTAAAGAGTGAAAAAAATGATCCCAGGTCCCTTTTTTCAGTGCCATTGGTAACTTTCACCTGTCACTAAATGAGAGGTTATAAGCCGAGGACCACCTGTCCTAGAGAGAATATTAATATTAATTCCAAGCCTTTAGGGGGCGGGGGAAGTTTCAAAACTAGGTTGACCTAGGAAGCCTTGTTTCTGATCAGTCCGGGAAAGTATAACTTCAGAGGCCCCTTCTATAAAAGGCCCAGTATTTAAAGGAGTCCCAAGTTTTTCTGTCCTTGTATTTTCCCCATCTGCTGTGTGTTTGAAAGGAGGGAGGTTCTCTTACCCTGCAAATTCTCTTCTTGCACTCCCGAGGACTCGCCCGAGGCCATCGCTGGCGGGACAGAGGCGTTTCTATTTCGGGGTCCCTCCTGAGTTGCTGGCTGGGTTGTTCCTGTCCGGCTCCGGCCAGGAGCAAGCGCTACCGCCGGACACGCGACGGGCTGTTTTGGCGGCTGGCTCCGCTCGACGTTCCCCCTCGGCCGCTCGGCTCCGGGGAACAATCCCTGCCTGCTATTGTTATTGTTGTCGCCGCTGCAGGTTCTCGGGATTGTGACGTCAAAAAGGAACGGGACGCCCCGATTGGCTGGCGAAACCAAGCTTCGGCACGCCCCCCCACCTCCTCCTCCTCCTCTTCTCCCCGCTTTGCTGAAAGCCTACAGGGGCGGGAAGGGGTGTCTTTTTAAGCGGCTGTGGAGATCGATGCCTCGGCCGCTGCCAGTGATCGGATCGATCGACCGATCTGTGTACCCGATCGAGCCGCGAGAAGGATCGCGCTCTCGAGAAAGCAACAGGACTTTCCCCATCCCGACCACGCATGGGGGGGGGGGAGGACTCAGTTGCGGGATCTAAAAACAAAGAAGCGCCCGCCCGCGCCCCCGCTTTGCAGTTAGCGTCTTCTCGCTTTCTGCGGGATTAGCTGAAGTGGGTCGGCAAAAGATCGAGATTGGTCGGCGGGGCATAGCTTAGCCGTTCTCGATTGGACGAAGGCTAAGGAATCCCGCCTCGGCTCTGGTTAAACTTTAAGCCGTGCTCAGTATGGATTTGGTGTTCCACATCTTATCCGCCGTGCGCTGCTCTTCTCGGGCGCGCCCCCAGCCTGAGTTGTTTACCCATTTTGGCTCTCAGGGAACATTAACCTTCTGTGAGCTGCGGTTCCGCTTCCCTATCGCGGAGGCGGTGATTGACAGGCCAAGCAGAGTCGCAGTTAAATATCTAAATTTGGGGTCGGCTCTAGTTGCTGACGGATTGCCGTATTTTCGAATAGGGCCTACCCGATTGCCTCACGTAGAGATAGGTGGATGCCTTTCAGTTGCAGGAGTGAAAAGAAGGACCAGGGGAGACATTATAGTGGTCTTCCAATATTTGAGGGGCTGCCACAGAGAGGAAGGGGTCAATCTATTTTCCAAGGCACCTGAAGGCCAGACAAGGAATAATGGATGGAAACTGATCAAGGAGAGATTCAACCTGGAAATAAGGAGAAATTTTTTTTTCTGACAGAACAATCAACTCATGGAACAGAAGAAGCCTTCAGAAGTTGTAGCTTCACTGGAGGCTTTCAAGAGGAGACTGGACAGCCATCTGTCGAAAATAGTGTAGGGGCTCCTCCTTGGTCAAGTGGGGGAATTGGGCTAGATGACCTGCATGGTCTCTTCCAACTCTGATATTCTGTTATATATAAATCAATCGTACTTACAATTCTCCGCTAAACTGAGGAAATAGATAAGTGCATTCTCGCTATCCCCAATTTCTTTTTTGGTTGCCTTTTTCCTTTTGATCGTGCATTTTTCTCAGCACTGCTGCCCCTTTTAATTTCTACTCAGTAGGCAAGAGAAGTTGCATCTTCCAGAGGTCTGAATGGATTGTTTGCATAGTGTTTAGAAATCAGATCAAGGCTGCACGTTGCTCACCACCAGACTAAAAGTAGGTATATTAGAAATGGGCTGCAAGTAACTAATAACAGCTCTGCGAAGAGATACAAAACAACTAAGTAATTGACAAAATCAAAGGTCTAAAAGACAATCGGAGGATTTCCATTTCCTGCCAGTTACAATCCTGCAAAGTTGCTAAAGCCCATGGGCTTGTCCAACCCTTTGAAGACCAAAGATAAGAGAATACTGTAAACTTGTTCCATTTGTGCTGGAGTTCATTAATCTCTTGGAAAAGCCACTCTGGATGCGATTGTGCAGCAGTGACTTCAGTTCTCTACGAAACATGACAAAGTTCAGACTATCCCTTTGCCTCTTCATAGTGGAGTGATACAGATAGTGCTCAACTTATGTCCATCATTGATCCAGAATTACAGTATGTTAAGAAGATCACCATGAGACTGAAGCCGATTTTACAATATTTTTTGTCTTTAAGAGAATATATTTCATCCAAATGAACATTTTTTTTGCCTGAAACTGGAACAAAATGCTAGAAATAGGCAAAAACATTGCAACAGAATGTTGCAACAGAATGTTGCAATGGCCATAAAGGTGAGCTACACATAATAGTTACACATAACTATAACATGGATACAATTCAATAATGAGGATTTCTCCTGTGATAATTATGTTTGTATAATAACCTCATCTAATAAACTACACTGCGCTCGGTGTTATTAAATGAAAATAAAGAACATATAGAGAACAGCTCGACTCCATAACTAGCTTTTTCCTATGTGCGTGTGTGCTTTGCAGAAACCTGTATAGCACTAGCAATTTTACTTGACTTCTATACCGCTTTACAGTGCTTTTCAGCCCTCTCTAAGCAGTTTACAGAATCAGCCTTTTGCCCCCAATAATCTGGGTCCTCATTTTACCAACCACAGAAGGATGGAAGGCTGAGTCAAACTTGAGCCTGGTGACGTTCGAACTGCCAAACTTCTGGCAGCCGGGAGTCAGCAGAAATAGTCTGCAGTACTGCATTCTAACCACTGTGCCACTACAGCAGTGTTTTGGGAAATAGTTCAAAACATCTGAAATTCACACAAGAGTAGATGTGTATCAGAAAGTCAGGTTTGTTATCCACCAGCACAGCATCAAGATTAGTATGTTTTCATTGGAAAAATGCAGCATTAGCTTCAAAACTACAAGACTAACTATCCCCAATGGTAACCGCCATGACATAATACAGATAGTCCTCACAACAGTTCATTTAGTGACCAAAGTTACAACAGGAATCGAAAAACATGATTTATGACTGTTTTTCACATGACCGTTGTTGCATCCCCATAATCATGTGATGAAAATTCAGGCGCTTGGCAACAGACTCATATTTGCTGGTTGCATGTCCTGGGGTCACACGATTACCTTTTGCGGCCTTCTGACAAGCAAAATCAATGGGGAAGCCAGATTCACTTAATAACCGTGTTACTAACTTAAGAATTTCACTGATTCACTTAGCACTTGTGCCAAGAAAAGTTGAAAAATGGGGCAAAACTCAACAAAAATGTTGGGCTCAATTGTGGTCATAAGTTGAGGACTACCTGTTCTGACCCAAACCTGGTTCCAAGAGAGCAGACACAAGACAAAGGCAGTAGCACAACCTTTTAATGTTTCATCTATGAATCCTGTTTCTTCACACGTAAAAGGCTGCTTCTAGCTAATTAGCTCCGACAAGAAAGAGCCTTGCCAAGTTTTTGCAAGGCTGCCAAAAAACCCCAGATAAATAGTTTACAACACAAGAGTCTTCAAGTACCAACTGTAATGTCCACGAGGCTGAGTTTCAAACCATCTTTGCTTCCTACAAAGAATGTTTGCTGCATAGCTGCCTTTTACCTTCTTGAAGGAGGGGCCGATACCTTGCAGTCTTACTCCCAAGTCACCCATGCTGTTGTAGCTGCTCTTTCCTCCAAGCAATCCTGCGCACATGAGCACTTGGCACAGGCTCCTTGGGAACCTCCTCATCACTGCTGTCATCCCCCACAATCTCTGAAGGCAGCAATCCACTCCCTAATGGTCCTGGCCCCTCATCTGAGCCCGAGCCCTCCTCAGTTGTCCGTACCTGCTACCAGCTAACCACAACACTACCTATACTGCCTAGCATGTGGACTTCTTATATTTTATTTTTTATTTTTACGCTTTTGCTGAATTTTAAGAAAGTTCTTCCCATGCGAAAACAAAAATGCCACTCCATCGATGGACCATATGTAAACACAATCAGCTGTAGGAACAAAGTTTTCTGTCAGTCATTAGCACTGAAAAGTTGAGTCACAGACCGAACTCTAGCCTCGAAGATTTCCCAATCGCCTGCTTGAACCAGCTGCATAAACAAGAAGGAAATTTTGCAATCATTTCCAAACTGGTGGGGATAGCTGGAGGCTAAAATAGTCTCTTGTTTATTGCGGAGGAGATCTGCACATCACTTACAAAGTAGGGCAATGCTATTTTGATGTTAGCAGCCATTTGAATGTCAGGATGTCCTAGAAGAGTAAACCAGGCTGATAATAGCAGGAATGAATGCTGTTAAATGAGGTAAAAGCTATTCTGCAACATGCAAGATTGGATGTAATGGCTGGGCATGCATAAGATGGTTTGAACAAACATAAATAAAGAGCTTTGGCTATTATTCTTTGTTGGAGTTCAATAAGATTGGGGCTTGGGAGTGGTTTGAGTCTTCTCTTCAACGGAGATAAAGAGATGAAGGGATTTGCTTTGACAAAGGAGCTTTGTCTCTTGCAAACTCGGCCAGAATATTTTAAATATTCATCAGATACATGCTCAGAAGCCTGTTACAGGAGAGGAAAAGAGAAGTGTGATGCGCAAAGCCTGAAGCTGTTTCAAGAGACTGTTTAACTCCAGATTTGATCAAAGCCACATGGCTCAGGGTTAACTAAAATCACTAACATGCTGATTTCTAAAGATGGCAATTTAATCAGAATAGAGCTGGAAGGGACACTGGAGATCTTCTAGTCCAACCCCTGCTCATGCAGGAGACCCTATACCATTTCAGATAAGTCTTTTCCAGTCTTTTACCATTTCCAGTCTTTTCCTAAAAACTTCCAGTGATGAAGCACCCACAACTTCTGAAGGGAAGCTGTTCCACTGGTTAATTGTCCTCACTTAGGAAGTTTCTCATTAATTCCAGGTTGCTTCTCTCCTTGATTAGTTTCCATCCATTCCTTCTTGTCCTGCCTTCTGATATTATGGAAAATAAATTGATACCCTCCTCTTTGTGGCAGTCCTTCAAATACTGGAATATTGCTATCATATACCCACCCCTAGTCCTTTTCTTTACACTAGCCAAATTCAAATCCTGCAACCATTCTTCATATGTTCCTAAAACACAGAATGAATGTATTTCCATCAAAAAGACTAATAACCGTCTAGGGTGATTTGATGAAAAATGCAAATAAAACATTTTTTTTCTATTTGATACAGTTGTTTGTGTACATAAACAGTACATGTAATGGTAGGATCTCAACCAGGAGTTTAGTCCAACATGAATGCTGCATTCCGATTGTATTTCTGCTCTCAGGACGGGAATCTATGGTTATAGCCCTCCAGTATTATTGAACTGTGGTCTCAGCACCTCTTGGCTTTAATTTGCTGATTAATTAAGTTTCAGCAACATTTGATAAGCCATAGGTTACATG